TTTTTTCCATTTAGTATATCCTTAAGACCATTGTGAAGGTGTACCATGGTTTATTTAACAGTTTTCTTTATGTAGAGGGTGCCTTGGTTCTTTCTAGTCTTTTATTATGTCAAATGATGCTGCATTAAATATTTTTATATACACAATATTTCATATATGTGCAAGTATATTTATAGAATTAATTTGCAAAAGTGAGATTACCAGTTTAAAGGAAAAAATTCCCTTGTAATTTTGAAAAATATTTGCAACCCCCCCTTGTATTTTGTACTTAAATTAGCAATGTATGAGAGTGCTTTTACCCTAATGAGTATTCTCAAGTAATTAGATTTCAGCCAATAATTCATGTGTGCGGTTTTAATTTGCATTTCTCTTATGACTGAGGTAGCACATTTTTGATATGATTAAAGGCCATTTGTGTCCCTTTTTCTGTGAACACTTCATATCTTGGCTCAATTTCACTGGATTGTTGGACACACTTTTTCCTGATTTCCAACAGCAATTTATATTTTAGGTGGTTATTTTTTTGATATGAGAGGGATATGAAATATTCCTTCTGTTGTGCCATTTGTCATTTACTTTGCTTAATGCAGTTTTTTCTTGGATAAACTAAGGTTTTTAGTTTGTTGAGTTTATAAATCTTTTCTATTATGAGCACTGAATTTTGAATTATAGTTAGAAAGATACCCCCCAATTGAAGATTATAAATGAATTTTCCCATGTTTTATTCTAATACTTTCACAGCTCCATTTTTGCAAATTAAAATCATGAATTCATTTGCAGCCTAGTGTACTCTTAACTACTAGGCTAGAAATGGATATAGACCATTAGCTTTCAAACACTTCTCCCACCTGGCCAGACTGGCCAGAGTGGTTCTGTTGATTGAATGTCACCCTGTGCACTGATAGATTGATGGCTCTATTCCTAGTAAGGGCACAGACTTGGGTTGTGGGTTCGATCCCTGGCACATAAGCGAGGGAACTGACAGATGTTTCTCTCTCTCTCTCTCCTCTCTCTCTCTCTCTCCTCCCTCTCTCCCTTTCTCTCTCTCCCCGACCTCTTACTCTCTCTTAGTATGTCTTTCTGTGAGAATTAAAAGAAAAAAAATAACACTTTTACTCAAGGTAGATCTCTCTTTAAATGACATCGCATGTGATTTTTAGAACAGATGGAAAAAGAGCTGCCCTGGTGGTGGCAATAGAAATGCTGTTGTGACTCTTGCCTTCATCACAGATTCTATGGCCAGTTTGTTGGAATCCTTAGGATCATTGCAAGCAGAGTGAAAAGTACAGATATCTGCAAAACAAGAACTAGGCCCAAAATTTGGATAATAAAATAGTTAAAAGAAAGATTTTCCCACTTGTCTTACTGTTTTGTCATTGAGTATTTGTTGATGAGATAAGACAAGACTGGAGAGGATTCAAAAGTACATCACAGCCCAGGCGGTGTGGCTCAGTTGGTTGAGCACTGTCCCATGTACTTTCTGGTCACCAGTTCAATTCACTGTCAGGGCACATGCCCGGGTTAGCGCTTAATCCCCAGTAGGGAGGGAGTGTGCAGGAGGCAGCTGATCCATGTTTTTCTCTCCCTCCCTTCCTGTCTCTGAAAAAAAAAAACAAAAAAAAAACATTATAACGAAACAAGAAAACAAAAAATGCTCCCAAGACAGGGAACAGAAAGACTTGGCTCTGTTTAAAAAAAGAAAAAAGTACATCCCAGTTTCTTCAATAAATGGTGTTGGGAAAATTGGACAGGTACATGCAAAGAAATACAACTAGACTACCAACTTACACTATGCATAAGAATAAACTCAAAATGGATGAAAGACTTAAATGTAAGTCATGAAGCCATAAAAATCCTAGAAGAACATGTAGGCAGTAAAATTTCAGACATCTCTTAGAGCAATATTTTTGCCAGTATGTCTCTGAGGGTAAGGGAAAAAGGAAAAAATAAACAAACAAGACTACATTAAACTAAAAAGCTCCAGCACAGCAAAATAAATCATCAACAAAGCACAAAGGGAACCCACCATGTGGGAGAACATATTGGCCAATGATTCATCTGATAAGGGGTCAATCTCCAAAATATATAGAAAATTTATACAACTCAACACCAGGAAGACAAACAATCCAATTAAAATATTCGTAAAGGACCTGAAAAGACAGGTCCTAAAGAGGACATACAGATGGCCAATAGGCATATGAAAAAATTCTCAAGGCCACTAATCATCGGTAGATATAAATTAAAACTACAACGAGGTCTCACCTCACACCTGTCAGAATGACTACTACCAATAAATCAACAAACAATAAATGCTGGCAACTATGTGGAGGAAAGGGAACCCTTGTGAACTGTTAGGGGGAATGCAGACTGGTGCAGCCACTGTGCAAAGTGATGTGGTGTTTTCTCAAAAAATTTAAAATGGAACTGCTTTTTGACCCAGGGATCCTACTTCCGAGTATATATCCAAATCCTGGAACACCAATCAGAAAGAATATATGCACCTCTATGTTCATTATCTAGAAATAGCCCAAGTGCCCATCAGTAGATGAGTGGATCAAAAAGCTGTATTGCATTTGCACCATGTAATACTATATGGCTGTGAAAAGAAAGGCTCTTTTACCATTTGCGACAGCATGGATGGACCTGGAGATTATTATGCTAAGTGAAATATACCAGTTAGAGAAAGACAAATATTATACAATCTCACTAATATGTGGAATCTAATGAACAAAATAAACTGACAAAAAAAATAGAATCAGAGGCATGGACACTTGGACAGACTGACAAATGTCAGAAGGGAAAGGCATGGGGGAACTGGATAAAGAAAGGTGAAGGGATTAACAAAATAACATATATAGAGCAGACATCCATCCCCAGGCAACGGAAGCACAGATCAGCAGCTGAGACCCATCCCCAAACACTACAGCAAAAGCTAAGCTGGAGTTGAGCCCTACCGGGCAGCAGCACTCTCCAGCCGCCAGAAGCGGGACCTGGGGCTCCAGAGAGGCCTCTGTGATCCAGCAGTTCACAAGAGCAGTGGGAAACCTGAACTTGAGAGGGACTGATGTGATTCAGCTGCCCGTGGTAACAGTGGGGTGCTGAGGCACAAGAGAGGCCTCTGCGACCCAGTAGCCCACAAGAGCAGTGGGAAGCCAGAGCACAAGAGGGACTGGTGCAATCCAGCTGCCTGCCCATGGGACCTGCAGGGTGCCGGGGCACCAGAGAGGCCTGTGCTACCCAGCCTGGACTGTGCGATCCAGTTACCCATGGACCTGCGAGGTGCTGAAGCACCAGAGAGGCCTGTGCGACCCAGCAGGAACTGTGCAATCCAGTTACCTGTGAGACCTGTGGAGTGCTGAAGCACCAGAGAGGCCAGTGTGACCCAGCAGCCGATAAGATAGGCATAGAGCCAGGTCCCCAAAGAGACTGTGCGATCCAGTTACCCTCGAGACCTGCAGGTTACGGGGGTACCAGAAAGGTCTGTGCTACCCAGCTGCTCACAAGATAGGTGTAGAGGAGATGAAAATGGAGGCGGAGTAAATGGAAGCTACACAGACGATCTCCCAGGACCAAACGTGAATTACAACTAAAATAAAGACAAAGCCTCGGGAAAAAAAAAAAGCACCAGAAAAGCAGCAGTACAGGACCATATGACGAGGGACACTGGTAGGATCTGTGGAGGTGCGAGAGGGTGGCGGGCTGGGAGGCCACGAACAGCTGCAGTCTTAACTGTGAGCAGAGCCCTTAGAGAAGAAAGACCAAGCCTGCTCCATAGCACAGGGAGCCAGGGCAGAGCACTAAAATAGCCACAGGTACTCACCTGGGGGCTAGAGCAGAGGGAGGACAGACTGGGCTGAGACTATGTGGGGACACCCGGGATTTGCAGGACACTCAGAGTTCTTGCAGAGTTGCAGCCACAAAGGATGGTGGCCAGTGTGCTCCTTCCCAGAGCTGTGGGGAAGAGCAGCAGCACCCCCTCAGAAATTCAGCCTTTCCCAGGTGAGGCAAAGAAATGCAAATTGAGGCTCATTAACAACCAGCCTCTATCCCACCCTCTGGAAACCTTATTCAGAACACCAGGGCTACATTCCAAGGCACTGAGTAATTGAGACTACGAGCCACCAGGAAAAAGCTAGAGGATAACTGAACCTTTCCCGGGCTTGCAAATCGACCCAAGAAAGTAAGACTTGACAGTGGTGTTTAACATGGGCCCACCCAGGCTCATCCAAACCCAGTAGAGGGAGCCACAAACAGCAGAACACCAACACCCTCAGCGAAAATTTGGCAGGCTCCAAAACCCACTGAGATAGCCAAAATGGTGGAACAAAGAAACAAACCCCAAATGAAAGAACAAGACAATTCTATCAAAGATGACACCAATGAAATGCAGTTAAGCAAATTATCAGAGGTAGAGTTCAGAGCCATGATCTTAAGAAAGCTCAACAGCATAAGTAAGGACATCAGCACCATGAGTAAAGATATAGAAACACTGAAAACCAACCAGTGGAAATGAAGAATGACATAGCAGAAATAAAGAACACATTAGAAGGACTAACCAGCAAAGTAAAGAAAGCTAAGAACCGGATCAGTGAATCAGAAGACAGGGTAGAAAAAATCAACCAATCAGAAAACCAACGGGAAAAAACAGAAAGAGCTTAAGAGAACTGTGGGACAACTGGAAACATAATAACATTCGCATCATAGGAGTCCCCAAAGAGGAAGAAAATGGGCAAGGGTTAGAGAATATATTTGAAGAAATAGTGACAGAAAACTTTCCAAACTTGGTGAAGGAAGAAGGCATTCAAGTTCAAGAAGCACAAAGAGCCCCAAGTAAGAAGAACCCAGGGCCCCGCCCCACCATACAACTCAGGGCGTGGGCATGCCCTGCGGGAGGGAGTGGGTGGGGAAGGATCGCAGGCGAGATCCTGAGGCTAGGCTCGTGCATCCGCTCCCGCCCTGGCCCGGGCCCCCAGTGCCCACCTGGTCCGCCTGGCTCAGCCATGATCAAGGCAATTCTCATCTTCAACAACCATGGGAAGCGGGAGCTCTACGAGTTCTACCAGCCTTACAGTGAAGATACACAACAGCAAATCATCAGGGAGACATTCCATTTGGTATTTGAAAGAGAGGAAAATGTTTGTAATTTCTTAGAAGGAGGATTATTAATTGGAGGATCTGACAACAAACTGATTTATAGGCATTATGCAACATTATATTTTGTCTTCTGTGTGAATTCTTCAGAAAGTGAACTTGGCATTTTAGATCTAATTCAAGTATTTGTGGAAACATTAGACAAGTGTTTTGAAAATGTTTGTGAACTGGATTTAATTTTCCATGTAGACAAGGTTCACAATATTCTTGCAGAAATGATGAATGAGATCGTTACACAAAACGATGCACAAAATAAATTAGACAAATCTGAGGCTGGCATAGCAGGAGCACCAGCCCATGCTGTATCAGCTGTAAAGAATATGAATCTTCCTGAGATCCCAAGAAATATTAACATTGGTGACATCAGTATAAAAGTGCCAAACCTGCCCTCTTTTAAATAAAAAATTTGAAAGGCCACTTCCAGGTAAAATCCAGGGAGAAAAGTCATCTAAGTTTACCATGCAGTTGTTTACGAAAAATGGAGGAAGAGAGTCTGAATTTTGCTCTTGGATTTAAGTCAAGGTACTGTATAGAAGCTGGTAAAATCAGTATGGCAGTTCAATGTCATTTTCCTTGTTCAGTGATTTTTGAAGAAATTGAGTAGTTCCAGTGTGATTTTTCTTGCTTTCATTTCTAAACTGCATTTCTATGCCCCCCCCTAAGGCATGCTTCTATGTATTGGCTACAACAGTATTTCGAAAGTGTTTGAAACATTTCTTTAAATTATGTACAAACCAAAATGTTGGTGTTTTATATGGATCACAAGTATAGCATTCCTTAATAATTTCTGTTATTTGTCACAATTGTTATTTAAAGAATCAAGTATGTATTGCATGAAAAAAAAAAGAAAGAAAGAAGAACCCAAACAGGCCCACACCAAGACACATAGTAATTAAAATGCCAAAATTAAAGACAAAGAGAGAATCCTAAAGGCAGCAAGAGATAAGCAACAGGTTACCTACAAAAGAAACCCCATAAGGCTCTCAGCTGACTTCTCAACAGAAACACCACAGGCCAGAAGAGAGTGGCATGAAGTAATCAAGGTCATGAAAAATGGATCTGAATCCAAGACTACTCTATCCAGTAAGGCTATCATTAAAAATAGAAGGCCAAATAAAGAGCTTTCCAGACAAAAAAAGAAAAAAAAAGGCTAAGGGAATATATTAACACCAAATCAGCACTGCAAGGTATGCTAAAAGGACTACTGTAATTAGTAGAAAAAATAGAAAGAAAAATAGAACCACACTAAACAAAAATGGCAATAAATAAGTACATATCAATTATCACCTTAAATGTGAATGGTTTGAATGCTCCGATAAAAAGACACAGAGTAGCTGACTGAATAAGAATGCATTAGTCGAATATATGTTGTTTACAAGAGACTCACCTCACAACTAAAGACTCACATAGCTTGAAAGTGAAGGGATGGAAAAAGAATCTTTCAAGCAAATGGAAAGCAAAAAAAGCTGGGGAAGCAATACTCATATCTGATAAAGTAGATATCAAAATGAAGGTCATAACTAAAGACAAGGAAGGCCACTACATAATATTAAAAGGATTTCTCCAACAGGAAGATATAACCTTGGTAAACATATATGTACCCAATGTAGGAGCACCAACATATAGATAAAATCTTCTGGAGGACTTCAAAGGAGAAATCAACAGCAATACTATCATAGCAGGTAACTTCAACACCCAGCTGACATTACTGGATAAATCATCTAGACAAAAAATTAACAAGGAAACACAGATTCTAAATGAAGCCCTAGATCAAACAGATTTCAAAGATACCTACAGAAAATTATACCCCAAAACTTCAGAATTCACATTCTTCTCAAGTGCACATGACATACTCAAAGATAGACCACATGTTAGGGCACAAACGAAGTCTCTACAAGTTCAAGAAGATTGAAATCATATCAAGCATCTTCTCAGATCACAATGGCATGAAACTAGAAATCAATTTGAACAAGAACATGCACAGACATTTGGAAACATGGAGGCTAAATAGCATGTTATTGAACAATGAATGGGTTACCATGGAGATCAAGGAAGAAATTAAAAACTTCCTGGAAACCAATTAAAATAAACACACAACAAGACAATCTATGGGATGCAGCGAAAGCAGTTCTGAGAGGGAAGTTCATAGCACTACAGGCCAACCTCAAGAAACAAGAAAAATCTAATCAACTATCTCACCTCACAACTTAAAGAACTAGAAAGCAATCAAAAAGAAAACCCCAGAGCAATTAGAAGGAAGGAAATAGTGAAGATCAGAGCAAAAAAAAATGACATGGAGACAAAAAAATAAACAATTCAAAAGATCAATGAAATAAAAAGCTGGTTCTTTGAAAAGATTGATGGACCGTTAGTTAGACTCACCAAGAAACAAAGAGAGAGGACCCAAATACACAAAATCAGAAATGAAAGACAAGAAATAATAACTGACACCACAGAAATACAAAGGATTGTTAACAAATATTGTGAACAATTATACAGCAACTAATTCAACAATCTAAGCAAAATGGACAAATTTCTAGAAACACATAGTCTCCCAAAACTGGACCGGGAGAGATAGAAAACTTGAACAGATCAGTAACAACAAAAGAAATTGAAGATGTAATCAAGACTCTCCCAGCAAACAAAAGCCCTGGCCCAGATGGCTTCACGGAAAATTTTACCGAACATTCAAAGAATTAATACCCATTCTCCTCAAACTATTTCAAAAAATTCACAAAGAAGGAAGACTTCCAAACTCATTCTATGAAGCCAGCATAATTCTAATTCCAAAACCAGAAAAAGACACTACAAAGAAAGAAAACTACAGGCCAATATCCCTGATGAACATAGACGCCAAAATCCTGAACAAAATACTAGCAAATAAAATCCCTCACTATATCAAAAAAATTATTCACCATGACCAAGTGGGATTCATCCCAGGGATGCAAGGCTGATACAATATTCGCGAATCAATTAATGTTATACACCACATAAACAAAGTGAAAGATAAAAAATAATATGATCATATTAATAGATGCTGAAAAGCATTTGACAGAATCCAGCATCCATTTCTGATAAAAACGCTCAGCAATGTGAGAATAGAGGGATCATATCTAGACATAATAAAGGCCATATATGAAAGACCTACAGCCAACATCATACTCAATGTGCAAAAACTAAAAGCATTTCCCTTAAGAACAGGAACAAGACAAGGATGCCCACTTTCACCACTCTTATTTAACATAGTACTGGAAGTCTTTGCCACAGCAATCAGACAGGAAGAAAAAAATAAAAGGGATCCAAATTGGAAAGGAGGAAGTGAAACTGTCATTATTAGCATATGACATGATACTATACATAGAAAACCCCAAAGACTGCATCAGAAATTTACTAGACTTAATAAATGAATTTGGCGAAGTAGCAGAATACAAAATTAATGTCAAGAAATCAATGCCATTCTTATATACCAATGATGAACTCACAGAAAAAGAAACGAAAAAAACAATCCCATTTACCATCACAGCAAAAAAAAATAAGATACCTAAGAATAAACTTAACCAAAGAAATAAAAGACCTATTCGCAGAAAACTACAGGTCATTGAAAAAAGAAATAGAGGAAGATATAGAAAAGTGGAAGCATATACCTTGTTCATGGATTGAAGCAACATCATTAAAATGCCCATACAACCTAAAGCAATCTATAGATTCAATGGAATCGCCATCAAAATACCAAAGACATACTTCACAGAACCAGAAGAAATACTTCAAAAGTTCATATGGAACCAAAAAAGACCCCTAATATCCACAACAATCTTGAAGAAGAAGAACAAAGTTGGAGGGATTACATAACCAGATTTCAGATTATACGACAAAGCCACTGTAATCAAAACAGCCTAGTACTGGCACAAGAACAGGCAGATAGATCAATGGAACAGAATGGAGAACACAGAAATGGACTCAAGACACTATGCTCAATTAATATTTGACAAAGGTGGCAAGAACATACACTAGAGTAAAGACAGCCTCTTTAATAAATGGTGTTGAGAAAATTGGACAGCTACATGTAAAAAAATGAAACTAGACCATCAACTTACACCATACACAAGAATAAACTCAAAATGGATAAAAGATTAAATGTAACTCATGAATCCATAAAAATCCTAGAAGAAAATGTAGGCAACAAAATTTTAGACATCATACGCAGCAGAATTTTTACTGATACATCACCTAAGGCAACAGAAACAAAGAAGAAAATGAACACATAGGACTACATCAAACTCAAATGCTTCTTCACAACAAAAGATACAATCATCAAAATGGAAAGGCAACCCACTGTATATGAGAGCATAATTGCCAACAATACATCAGATAAAGGGTTAATTTCCAAAATATATAGAGTGCTCATACAACTCAACAAAAGGAAGACAAAGAATCCAATTAAAATAGGGCAGAGGCACTAAATAGACACCTCTCCAAACAGGACATACAAATGGCTAAGAGACATATGAAGAAATGCTGAACATCACTAATCATCAGAGAGATGTAAATGAAAACAACTATGAGGTATCACTTCACACCTGTCAGAATGGCCGCCATCAACAAATCATCAAACAACAAGTGTTGGCAAGGGTGTGGAGAAAAGGGGACTCTAGTACACTGCTGGTGGGAATGCAGACTGGTGCGGCCACTATGAAAAACAATATGGTGTTACCTCGAGAGGTTGAAAATTGAACTGCCATTTGACCAGTGATCCCACTTGTAGGAATATACCCTAAGAAACCTGAAACACCAATCAGAAAGAAGATATGTACCCCCATGTTCATAGCAGCACTATTTACAAAAGCTAAGATTTGGAAACAGCCCAAGTGTCCATCAGTATACGAATGGATAAAAAAGCAGTGGTACATATACACAATGGAGTACTATGCAGCTGTGAGAAAGAAAGATCTCTTATCCTTTGAGATTACATGAAGGACCTTGGAAACATTATCCTAAGTGAAATAAGCTAAGCAGAAAGAGACAAATACCACATGGTCTCACTTATTTGTGGAATGTAATGAACATAACAGTCTGAGGAACGGAGTAGTCCCAGAGATGTGGAAGTGGGGTACAGACTGACAATCCCCAGAAGAGGGGGCGAGAGGGGACAGATAAATGCCAGAACTTATATGCATGTATGCATGAACAATGGACATGGACAACAAAGCTGGGGACCGGGCAGGGAGGGAGAGGGAGTGGGGAATCAGTGGGGGGAAAATGAGAAACATCTGTAACAAAAAGAAATAAATAAAGTTGAAAAAAATAACATATATGCACAGCTCATGGGCACAGACTGTAGTCTGGAGCGGGCCAAGGGAAAGGTGGGAGAGAGCTGAGTAGAGGTGGGCAAAGGTGGGGAAAA